GATGCTGTAACCAGGTTGCCCACATGTTGCTTTCACATTGTAATTGTTTGGAAGCCCTCCGTACCCACAACAAGCCATCAATGGTGCCTCAAAACCTATGCCAAAAAAACAGTTTCATTAACTAGAGCCCCAAAAAAAACACAAAAACAAAAAGCAAAATTTCCATTATTCATGTTTACATTGCGACACTTTGATCTTCTTCTTACCATATCGTTTGTAGTTGGCGAAGAGACCATATTTGATGGCATATATATCGACATACACAATTGTTGCATCCTCATATACTAATCTCATTTCTTTGCATAGCTTATGAAGTCCTTTGTTGAAGGCTTTCGCAACATCATTATGAACACGAAGGCATCCAATCCGATCCAAGTCACTCTCCTTGTGGGGATGCAGAGCAAGTTCTTTAGGCGCACAACCCAAAGGTCCAGTGTTGTGTATCCAAAATTTTCTACCACCATACTGATAAATATTCTGCATTCGAACCAATTAACAAAATTGTAGAGAATTAATCAAGCAAAGATTAATTTTTGCCATATTAAAGTCAAAAAATGCCAGACAGTACTCACTTGGATAGCTAGTTTAATTTCTGCAAGAAAAGATGGGATCCTTGCTACAACTGGTGAATAGGTGAGATTTGATGCGTACAAGGCAAGTAGAAGATCATTCTCTCCGATATCAATCATGTAAAGTGCACTACGAAATCCAGATTCATCAATGAAATTTCCTGAACCTGCTGCTTCAAAGCTTGCATTAACTTATATGACATACTACTAGAAAAATCACTTTTTGCAATGAGCGGGCGGTTGCAAAAGCCCTTTTGCAACTGCCGTGCGTCGGTAGAAAGGTAGACACCAATATGGTGGTGGCAGGAAGTGATATTGGTGTCACCAACATGGACACCAATAAGCCGTTGCAAATATCATTTATTTGCGATCACCAGTCAAGCCATTGCAAAAGGTATTATTTGTGACGACAAATGGGCAAAAATGGAACGGAAAAAGGACATTTTTCTAGTAACGACACCCTACGCAAAAAGATACTTGATGGCATATACGATGATACGACAAAACCATTAAAACTAGGATACAGGTATGGCCATGTTGAAAGGGAAACAAAAAAAACATCATAATTTTTAATATTATATTATACATGAGCTCAAAGAATAGCGAGAAACCATATTTTAGGAATTAGATTTGAAAATGTAGAGTACTATTTTAATCTCACTATTTTCTTCTTCCCTAAAAAAATAAAAATAAAAAATAGTTTGGATACAGAATGTAAAATGCCTAAAAAGTATCCGATAGCTCTTAAAATTATCAGCAAGTATTGGATATGTATCCATGAGAATCCAAGGAATGTGTATATTCAATACAGATACAATATGCATACAACTTTTTTTTAGAGTATCCGTGCTTCATATCATAGATGACACCTATATATATATTTTTTTTTTCTAGACATCAAACAAGAAAAAAGCAAGGACCTCAACATCTAATATGAATTGCCCAACTTGAACATCTAATATTTCTAGACATTTAATGGCGCAAGCTGCAAATGAACATTACCCATTGACAGGAGTTCGAGTGAGCGGTTCTTAAAGCGGATGAATTGCCGAACTTGAACATCTAGTGCAAATGGGACAAACTGTGGTAGAGTGCATGCTCCACTTACTGCAAAGTTTACTCCACTTGTAAAATTAGGCGCTAGTGAGTCCAGATATGGACTTAAGAAACTCAAGTTCAGGTGTTCACCTAAAATCAAATCAAATTAAAAAAAAAACACAACAACAACAACAACTGGAACATATCAGATTAGGAGCAGCAGCTAAAGAAAAGCAAACATAAAAGAGCAGAAGAAATCACAGGAGGACAATTCAGAGGAGGAGATTGAATGATAATAGAAGAGACTGTGGTTGGGAGATATTGGACTCACAGAAGAAATCAATCACGAGCCGCCCATCACCAAGGCGGCCTGTGCCTCGGTGGAAAAAGGTGATGCCATGAGGAAGGCCAATGGGAAGTCCAGTCCCAGCAAGTACTCCTCCAGTGTCAGAATTGGAATCGCCAAAGTTCACTAGTATCGGTCTCTTCTGGCTGGAAACAGAGAGAGCTAATGTACCAAACAACACAAACAATAACAGTCGATGAGATAATCTTCTATGACCCATCTTTTGTTTTACCTAAACAGTGTCTTTACTTGTGATATCAAGATCTATAATCGATACCTAATCTGCATCATCAATGGTACAGTTGACCGAGATATTTAAATATACATATATATATCAACATGATTAAGTCATTTGCTATTATCTGTCTGGTTGGCTGGCTGAAGTAATTAAAAGACATCAACTTTTCTGTATGAGTAGTGTTATATAGTAACAAAACATTTTTCCCTGAAACTCATGTGACAGGTATTCAATGCACATCAGTCTGTAAAATTTATGTACAAGAAATTTACAGACTTACATATCAGCATACACTGCTGTAGCATTTCTTCTCAGATCTTAGTTCTTTGCACAAAGCAATTAATTTGTTGTGAAGAAACTTGCGCACCCTTCTCTTTTCCTTTCTATTTACAAATTCTCATCAAATCATTGATCCAAACGCAAAATTAACCTTAATAGGCCCAAGTAGAAACCCATCAAAGAGGTAATGCAATATGCTCTACATTGTACCTTTTTGGCATTGGCTTGAGGCACCCAGCTTGGGGGAAAAAATGTACATGAATGTCTCGGCCAAAAGTATATGCTCCAGTTTTGGAATTGAAAAACGATAGAGATCCCTACTAAACAAATAATTTATTTGCAAATTACACGCATTAGTGTGAGGTCCACAGCCATATGTGTAGTTGTTACAAAAGTTAATAATTTAATAAGAATATGTAGCAAAGTTGTTTGGAACTAGATCACCAAGAATTAAGAAGCCACAAAATTCAACAGTACCCACTTCAATGTAACATATATTTATGGTTAAAGTTATCAGCTTGAAAACCATTGGGAAAGGAAGAGACAAAAAAATAAACTAGTTTATTATTGACAATGTTACCCATAATTGAAATATCTAAACAAGATTCATGCAACATAAGGTCCACTTACCTACCCTTTGATTTAGGCATAGATATAATACTGAAAATTCAACACAAAGTTATCTGCTGTAGAAAAACTCAAAACAAAACAAAAACAAAAACAAAAAAGGATCAAATCTTTTATGTAATCTTCCTAAGCTTTTCTTGCGCCATTTTCCCGGCCTTCTTCCCATAAAATTTGTGAAAGAAAACCCGAATCTCCTTCTTCAACCCATCAATGTTGTCATCATCATATCATCATCCGCCGCTGCCGCCATATTCCTCATCAGTTTCTTCAGGGTTGTTTGGCGTTCATGGTGATTAGGGTTGTTGCTGCTATTATTTTTTAATTACAGAGGGATTACGATGATTTTTTTTGTTTTTTATTTTTTTTTTGAGGAAGGATTACGAAGATGACAACAATGAGTCAGTTCATTTTTTCAGAATTTTTTTTTTTTTTTTAAATCAATACAAACTGACGCAAATTAATTAAAAATTAATCAAATTTCACAAACAAAACTTTGAAATTTTCAATTATTTATTATTTTAATAAATTTATCAATATTATTATCACTACTAAATGATCATTTCATCACAGAAAATTTCAATACACATTATTTGTACAGTTTAGATAAATTTTTGAACAAAAGTCTAATGTTTAGACATTAATTTCTAGAAGAAAAAAAAAATTAAAAAAAAAAACACTTGTTCAAACATAAACAATAAAACCGAATGTATATGTGAATAATTCATTTTTGTTCTAAAATTTATGTCAAAATATTTAATTTTTATTCAAAATTTATATCCAACACAAATAGTGTATGCTGAAATTTTTTTTTCATGTGCAAATGAAATTTTTTCAATCTCATCGAATGAGATTAGATTAGCAATCCCAACTCCAATGAGAACGTTAATTGTACCAAAATAATGAAGTCAACTATTATATAATGAAAATCTTTTAATTTCAATTAACTAATAACACCATATTAATATCCAAACAAACCCAATTTATCATACATTTCCAATCAAATACTACCATATTAATAACATCATTACCCAATTACACCATATTCATAATTCCACCCAACCCAAATCCAACTAATCCAACAATTAAACATGGCCTAAGAACATTGTGACCTAGTTTGGTTCGTCTCTTGAGAGATAATTTTTGAGAAAATATTTCAAAATTTTGTTTGGTTGAAAAGTTTTTGAAAAAAAATTTCAAAATCACTTTTTCTCTTCTCTTTCCTTCTCTCATATTCTACGCATCAATCAATCACTTTTTCTCTAACACCTATATATTCAACTACAAAAAATAAATTAATTAATTAATTAAATTATCACAAACTCTAAAACACCTAAAAACTATTTTCAAAACATACAACCAAATAAATTTTTTAATTTTGTTAACCTGTTTTCAAAAAAAAATATTTTTCAAAATTGTTTTACAAATACAAATCAAACATGGCCTGTAATTCTTTATCAATTTTTTCATCAAGCTTGAATAAGAATTTGGACCAAAAACATCATTTGATATAGCTCACCCCAATGGTGGCAATCAAATCACCACCACCACCTGCCACCTCAACCAAATCACCATTCTCTACTGCATAGCATTGCATCTCTCTTTATCCAGTCAATCCAAATCATTTTAAGCACAATCCAGATTTGGTGAAAGGGTTGGAGATGCAAATTAGTTTTACTTTTTCATCAAATTGAAATGAAAAGTAAGCTTTATTGGACGTCTCATTGAAGAGCCAGACAACACAACACAGCCTCCCTTGCCAACAATAATATCTACCCAATAAAAATCATGAAGTTCAATGCGAAGATAAAAATATAAATCCTTGTTAACTATTTAAGTAAATTGATTTCACAGAGCATGCAGACTGATTAGGCAAGGGCAATAGCTGCCGAGACAAACAATCTTCCAAAATAGAAAAAATCAAAATGCATCAATAATTGATTAAAAACGATCTAAATGCCAAACTCCATGAACCACTAGCTGTTTAATTCCATGCTTAAAAATATGAAGCAGCTTAAACATATAGAGGGATTGCCTAACAGAATCTTTGAAAGCTTGAACAACATTAACAACACAATCAACACACAGACAACAAATTGCCAAGTGGAACCTTGAATCTGGGTAGCAGTATGTAATGACAAACACTGACAAATCTCCCCATTGGAACTAACACCAAATCAGGTAGAGACACAAAGATGAATGACAAAGCTTGTTGCCATTCAACTTAGCAAACTACAACTGAATTGGCCACCTGATAAAGTAAGCTTCTCTGCTTTTGTAACTGCATCCAAAGGGAGAGGACTGAAACTCTGAGATGGACCATAGAAATGGGGAAAGACGTTTGAGGCATCTACAGCTTCGTATACTAGTCCTTCTCCCAGCTGCAATAAAATGCATGCCAAGAAGGACATTGTCAAGCCATGAGGACAATTAATTACAAAAAGCTAGGGCATAAAAGAAAAACTGATGTCAACTAGATGTTAGAATTTTCCATATGTGGACCAATATGCTAATTGATTTTCTTTTATGGAAAAATGGATAGATTGTTGCTTGGTACATTGAGGCATACCAGTGATCCCATCAAGCATCTAGTGATTGGTTTTACATGGGATTAAGGTACACCTTAGTTACACCATTTCCAAGTGTAAGATAAGGATGGAGGATCGTGACAAGGGCTTTTTCTACAGTGTCCACAATGAGTAGGACTGAGGATTACTCCTGATTTATAAGATGACTAGGTCCCTACTCTCACCCACATTCTGCTATTCAATCCCATCTAAAGAGGGCATACGATATGATGTTGTACATACAGTATAAGACCTATACTTGTTTGTTCAATTCTCAACAAGAAAACACCATGGCAGGCGAAGATCTCATTGTGTTTCAATCAAAAGCTTTGGTTTCATGCTTCAAATGCATGCCAAATTCATTCCAATGATTCTAAGTGACTGAGTGGAAATTTTACACGAGACTAGATATCATTCTAGCAAGTTAAAGAACACCTTAAATCCACAAGGAATAAATGAATTCCCAAAGAGAAACTGAATAATATTGATCAAAAGTTGCATTGCCCTAAGGCGTACATCATTATTTATAATATTCGAAACCCAACTAAACAAGGAAACAACTAATTACACTAATTCTTTACTAGATACAAAAATAAATAAAAAGAAATAGAAAATTACCAAAAATGACATATTTAGTGAAGCCCAAATCCGAATACTACATAACACTAGAAACACGCCAAAACAAACGGTGCTAACAACTAACTTTCCAAAATAAAGTTATTGCTAAAACAAAACTTTCCTAAAATAGCAAAATCTATACAGCATGTAAGAGTTTTAGGAACCAAACTTTTTGTCCCCAAAAGTCAAAACTTTGTTGCAAAAACTATTAAGAGACCAGTTTCAAAAGTCAAACGAAATGACCTTTAGCGACAAAATATTAAAAATGTCATTATTAAATGCACTTTTAAGGATAAAACAATTAAATCTCAAAAAGGTTTATTTTTTAGATGAAAATTTTAGTCCCAAAATGATAGTTATCTCTATTATCAAAATCTTATGATTCGCGATTCGATTCGCAATTTTTGCAAAATCGATACGAATCTATGGATGAATCTATTTTGGAAGTAAATCTCTAGTGAATCACACGATTCAATTCACTTTTTACGATTCATGCAATTTAATATGATCCAATCAAATTCCGTCAGACCCAACATATTTTTAACATTTCTTCTAAATTTTTTTCCCTTTAAAAAATCATAATATATCTTCTAAAGATGTTTGAGATTAAAGTTACACTAAGAATTATCTATTATTATTTTATTAAATTGAATATTACATGTGTAAGGCCAGTTATACCTTTTAAATGTTTTAGGTTTTAAAATAAAAGATTCTAAATAATTCTTTCTTATTATTTGCTCACTGTTATTTAGAAAAGTATGTATGCTTATAGTCTAAATATCAATATCGTTGTTAATTATTGTTACTTTGAAAATTGATAGTTTGTCTATTTGGTTATTATCTTTGTTAAGAATGGTTGATAAAAAATGTTTAAAAAATAAAAAAGATAAGATTGCGATCTTATATAAGAACCTTTGTTAACTTATTATCTATTAAATTACGTGATTATCATTCAAAATAACATTTTCATTGATTTAAGTCTAAATATTTCATATTCATAAGATATATTTAATATCTAAATGTTTAGATATATGTTTTTAAGTAATTTAGAAAAAATAATTGAATCTTTATGTTTCACGATTCGATTCGATTTGATTCGATTCGATTTGCGATTCGGTACGAGACCATTTTAATTTACAATACAAATCCCGATTTGACAACTATGATAGTTATTCATCTAAAACTTTAATTTCTTGTAGTGATCACTAATTTGAGGGCCTAAACAAAAGAATTTGGCTAAAATCCACCATGCAACATCACCGAGGACAGCGATGACTTTGATTTAAAACATGGTTTCAGATCAGACTACCAAATTTGTAAAAATATAATATTTTAACATGTCTCAAGCATGTCGTGTCCCGCATTTTTTGAGAATCAACTTGTTAGCGTGTTTGTATCGTGTTGCATGTCTGTGTTTGTGCTACTTAGAATATAACCATTGAAAAGAAAAAAAAAGAGTAAACAAAAAATATTTAAATAGAATAGCGAAACAATAGAGAGTTTGTTGGAGCGTGTATTGGAAAAATGGTTACTAAAATAGAAAAGTAACTTTTTAAGTAAAATTTGGGTAAAAATTTAACTATCTTGATGAAGATGCCCTTATATAGCTTCAGCATTAATATATATCATCATTCATCAAGGTGACAATTAGTTAGTACATAGTCAAGGATACCCAGTTCCAAATATTTGGAGTAGGCAAACAGCTATGCAGTCACCCCAACCATCACTTGCTGAAATTTTTCAATGTCATCCACTTAAATTGCTAACCTCACCATTGTTATGAGACTCCAACCCAGCAAACCAACCGTTCTCAATGATTTGTTTGACTAACTCAACAAAGGTGAACAAACAGAATACTCTTATATAGATTCAGCATTAATGTATATCATCATCATCAAGGTGGCAATTAAGAAAAACACCAACAATTTAGGATCTGTCAATGCTTTGGTAATTGTAGCTGTATGCACTTAATAATTTTAAATGCTTGAAGGCTTCCCTATTAATAGCAGGTCCAATTGATCATAGATGTCACCAGATTCTTTTAAGTTTGCATGAAATAAATGGCAATGTCATGCTAAGCTATTCCCTGGTCAAAGCAAGCAAGGATAATATCAATTAATCATCAATGGCAATTACCTTTTTAGATTCAATTTGGAGCAGGTAAAGGTCCCTGTTACTGTTCAGAAAGAAGTTCTGCAAAGTTGACTGGACCTGCAAATAGTAGTAACCACATTAAGATGTTAACATTACAAATCCTAGAAGAATCAACTCATGACAAATCCTAAGGCATAATCTGTTAATGATTCAAATGGTTTACCCAAGGTTCTGAAAAGCGGTTGCGGACGTCATAACGGTTGCGGTTGCGGAGTGTAAAGGCCGTAGCGTAACAGTTACGGTTGCGATAACCGGAACCGTGATTTTTTAATTTTTCACACAATTTGAAAAAAACTTACCGATACGCATTTTTTCTTCTTCTTCAGAATCACATTTATTGAGATTTAAAATAGATTTTAATCAATTTTTGTTAATTTTTAAATATGATCCAATATATATTTTTTCAAATCACTATAAAATGAGTTTTTTACATTTTCTTTCAATAGTTAATGACTTTAAGAATAACTGATTTTAAATGTTTACAAATTATTTTTGACCAATACTTGAACTAATTGAATACAAAATATTCATAATTATTAAATGATTATAAAAATAAAAATTTTGCCATAAACAACAATCATTTTTGAGGCATTTTTTAGACAACACTTTACAGCTAAATAAATAAAATTATTTACAATTAAGTATTAAATGAAATGATTATAAAAATAAAAATTGTGCCATAAACAAAAATTATTTTTGAACTACTGATTTTATTTATTTTTTAAAGACATTTTTTAGACAACACATTAACAAAATAAAAAATATTAAATAAAATGATTATAAAAATAAATGCAACTACTGTTTATATATTTTTTATTTTACATGCTAATGTAATGAAATAAAAATTATAAAGAAAAAAAATTCACACGAGATTTTTTCTTTGAATTTAGATCACTTGAGTATTTGTTCTTTTTTTGTAAACTTTTATTTATTTTATTTTTTTTGGGAAAGGAAATTATTCAGAATATTGCAAAAGGGTGTCACAGTGTGTAACAGACCGTAACTGCCGTGTTATGGCTGTTACAGTACCACTACGGCCGTTACGTACTACTAAAACGGCCGTTACACGTGTGAATTTCTGTCACACCCAAAGTTCTGAAAAACGGTTGCGGTTGCCGTAACGGTGACGGTGGCGCGGTTGCAGTTGCCGTTGCCGTTGCCGTTGCGATTGCGGTTGCGGGTGCGGGGTGTAAAGGCCGTAGTGTAATAGTTGCGGTAACCGGAACCGTGAATTTTTTTATTTTTCGCACAATTTGAAAAAAACTTACCGATACGCATATTTTTTTTTCATAATCATATTTATTGGGTTAAAAATAAATATTGATCAATTTTTAAAAAATTTTAAGTATGATCCAATATATTTCATATTTTTAAATCACTATAAACTGAATTTTTTACATTTTATTTTAATAATTAATGACTTTATATTATACAAAAAATCAATCACTAACTATTATATATAAGATAAACAATGACAAAAGTAAGAGAATAAATAAAAGCCTAAATATACATATATATATATATATATATTTTAACCAAGCCAAACAGATAATGACCACACTTATTATTATTATTATTATTTTCAAACAATATATAAATAGACACACACAAATAAAAAGGTTGAGTGATAGCAGCTGAATAGAATAGCATAGGTCTTACAGTTTCAACAAATAGATAACATGTTCTTCATCTTCCCTCTTCTCTCTCTATCTCTTACTCCTCCATTTTCTCTCTTTATCTTTTCTCTTCTCTCTATCCCTCTTCCCCCATTTTCAACTTTTTTTTGTGTGTTTTTTGGAAAGAAACAGTTTGGAACCGTTACGTAACAGTGCGTAACAGGCCGTTACGGCTGTTACGGCACCGTTAAGACCGCTACGGTAGCCGCTACGACCGACACACCTGTGAATCTCAATCACACTGCAAAAGCGGCCGTAACGGGTGGCGGTAACCGCCAAAACCGTTACGTAATGCGTTGCGACCGCTTTTAAAACCTTGGTCACACCGCTATAGCGACCGTAAAGGGGTGGCGCGAACCACCACAGCCGTTACGTAACGATATTGCGTAATGGTTGCGGCCGCTTTTTAAAACCTTGAGTTTACCCTATGACTGGAAACCATGCTTTCTGCTCTATGACCTGCAATATTATTCAGTAAATGTTGGAAAATATGATCCCTGGATTAACTGATGGGTTTATGATCACTAATGATGACTTTCTGAATTCCCAATTGGAATCCATGCACATACAAGCAATATTTGGATTATAGATTTGTGAATAAATTTATTAAGAAAATTAAAACAAAACAAAAGGCATAAAAATAAAAAAGTAAAGAAAGCTAAATTTATTTCTTTCATTTCCTTGTCATTTCCTTTCACTTGATAAATCCAATATCTCCAAACACATTCATTAAATTAGATATTTTTCAAAGCCAAAAAAAAGCCCCAACTTTGGAAATATTATGCTACATGGAACACAAGTGACCCTCCTACTCAATTGAAGTGTTGAATTTTCAATACAACCAATGAAAAGTAAATTAAATCCAATCACCAGGTGTATGGGTGATTGCAGTTCGGTTTGGTTCGGTTTAAAAGAAAACCAACAACCAAACCAAACTTACGGTTCCATGAAATTTTAATACTCACATACTCAAATTAATGAAAATCTTAGAACCAAACTAAACAAACCAATGAAAAGTGGTTGGTTCAACTTAGAACCATGTTTCTTAAAAATATGATCTTGGTCCTCTCCATTGCATATCTCAATGGCTATAAAATGGCAGTAAATTTATCTATTCTTTTTCAAATTAACAAAAATAATTACAACTCATTGAGCCTACTTTGGCACAACCCGTTGGATTACGTAATGGAGAGGATCTCAATCCCTAAAAATGCCATCATTCCGCAACGTATTCACAAAATATTGCTCACAACCTCCACTCAAACATTAACAATTTGCCAATCATTTTTCAAAAAAGAATATTAGGATTCTAGAACTAGTTCTACCATTGTTGTTAATCATGGATCAAATCGTGAATCATTTTGCTAAAATAGTGAAGCATGAATCATAAGATTCATTTTATTTAGCATAAATATGTAAGCTTTATATATGTGTACACCTATAAAAATACGCATGTAGTGTTAAAATAAAAAAATTTCAAAATATAACTTAATTGTTGTAATGTGTATATTATAACGACGTATATCAATATAATTAGTATATCTCTTTTATTATTTTGTGAAAACAACATCGTTACATACATTATGCAAAACAAACTAAATCACTTAAAATCATTGACACTATGAATACAATGAATCATAGTGGATCACAAATTAAATTGTAAGATAACCTCAATTTAAGATTCAACCTACAATGAATTTGAATTGTTTTGCTTGAAACTTGTAACAAAATCGTGAATCATAAATTCTAAACCACAATAGTTCTACCTATATACAACAACCCAATCACTTTTACTTTCTTAAATTTCATGCACAAAAGTTGCACAACTTATAATAACAAAATTTTGTTTTTTGTTGACCTATGGTTTCAGAGAGTTTTTAAAATCAGATGTTCGTTATATAGGTATTAATCAAGTGCTTGAGTAAAACAAAGTAATATATACAGAAATTGCACTTTTTACCCTTATATTCTCGAAGCAAATTTTATTTCTGTCCTTATTGTTTTAATTTGAACAATTTGAATCCCTACAACTTTAGTCTAGTTTCAAATCTTCCATCTAAATTTTCATTATTTTTTCTAAGAACTAATTGTCAACAATCCGACAACAGTGCCCAACATAAACACAACACAACACTTGTCGGACACTTCCCAACACTTAGATACACATTAAACACATTATAAAATTAAAATAAAATAACTCAGCAATCAATGATAAAACAAAAATAAAAAATTTTATACCTATACGCCTCCTTTTGACTTTAGAATTATTGGATGTGTTTGGTTTGGTTTTGGGAGAATAATTTTTCAAAAAAAAATCTTGGAGAAAGTTTAAAAAAAAAATTAGTTTGTTTGGTTGTATATTTTGGAAATAATTTTAGAGTGTGGAAGTTTGAGATAGATTTGATCTTTTGTTGTAGTTAAGTAATGTTGTGTGGAGAGAAATAGTGATTAAAAATGAGAGAGAAAAAGTGATTGATTGATGTATAGGAGATAGAAAGTGATTTTGAAATTTTTTTTCCAAAATCAATAAACCAAACAAGGCCATTATATTTTACTTAAATATTCATATATACAGATATATAATTATATATCTTTTTATATGACATAATAATAAATATATAAATTATATATTTTGCAAGTGTTCCCCACATGATGTGTTCTAATTTTTTTAAAAATTTCACGTCAGCATGTCAAGAAGGGTTGTCAGACGTCCATGTCACGCTTCTTAGGTAGATAGGAAAAATAAAAATAGTTGGCGTGTCTCCTAAAAATAAATTTGTTAAACAAAGAAACAAGCCATGTGCAACATTCCCATGTCAGACACCGCTATTGCACATGTTTTGAACTGTCGGGGCATCGTGGTGTACACCTCATCATGTGACTAACAAGTGTCTCAAAAATCGTACATTTTAACTTACAACTTACAACTTGAACAGAATGCCCAAATTGTTCAATTTAAAATAATAGATTCATCCATATAGATATATGTACCTATACTATTATATATATGAGCACATGACTTAGTGTTTAATAGTGTGGTGGCTTCTCCTTGTGCACATGATAAATTTCCCTATCTTAAAATAAAATAAAAAAATTATTATTCAAAGGCGTGAGCAAGATTTCATTAAGAACACTCCGACCAGCATACATATTATGATATTAATTTCTTTATTATTATTTTTATACTTACTTATCTATCTGAATTGCACACCCACTAATAGGTATATAAATAAAAAATGTGGTTCAATTACAAATTGGAATCCTAATTACGTACAGAACCATGAAATACAATACAGAGAAGCGAACCAAACCAAACCAAACTAATTAGATGAATGCCAATTAATCAACTTCAAATGATAGAAAACAAACCCTAAAATCCCGAGGAAGCAAACAAGATGAAAATGTACCCCAAACCCTAAAATCCCGAGGAAACAACAAGATGAAAAAACAGAAATCAGTTAGCTCAGCTATTCCAATGACATGAAATTTTTGGATTGTATGAGATGGAAACAAAAATGGTTATGGAAAAAGTTAGAAAAAACAAACCTGATGGAGGCTGCTGAGATGGATAAACCCATCGGTTTTGTCAAGTTCACCACCCAAAGTAGTTCCAGTTTTCTGAAGAGCCTCCCACTCCTCGCTTGTGCTGATTCTGTACACGAATTCTTCTCCTCCTCCTTTCCTTCCTGCCATTCTTTTCCCCCCCAACTTCTCTGGAGACGATAAAAATGGGACAAAAATAGCATATTGGGGTTACCTCTTTATAATTAATAATACTCCTTCCGTCCCAAAATATTAGTCCCTTATTCTATTTTTCATTGTCCCAAAATATTAGTCCCTCTTCAAAAATCAAGTACAAAAATAATGTAAATTTCCTATTTTGCCCTTCTTTTAAATTAATAAACAATACAAAAAGTACAATTATGACATTTATATTCCCAAAAAATGTACTATCAAAAGGGTAATTTTGGAAAATCAACTTTTTTCAAATGCAATAATTGTATTACCAAAAAAAGTTAAATTCCCCAAAAAGGACCAATATTTTGGAACGGAGGGAGTAATATATATGAGATGGCAAATAAATATTACTCCTACATATAATATTTTAGTGTTTCATTTTTGTTATTTTAACAAAATTAAATTTAAATTTTATTTTATGTGTGTTCAAAATCTCTTCTCATTTCAAAATAAACACGTAACCCTCATATTTAAGCTCGTAAATAATTATGCAATAATTTTATTATGCAAATTATGAATATTTTAATCATTTTTTGAAAGAAAATTTTCATTTTAACTTTTAATTTTTTGTTCTATGAGTAATTTATTCGTCTTATATTTATAAATAAATAAATAATTTCACTACATTCTAACACGTATTAACTATTGGTCACCCGTGCGATGCACAGGATTTTACAAAGTCAATAATTACTATAAAAAAATTTGCTATTTGCTTATATTTCTTAATATTTTTATTTGGTTTGTGTATATAAATCTTATTTCACATAATTAAAAATATTTAATATTTCACATTATTGAAAATTTTAAAAAGTATCATACATTAGTAAATCATCACATATATAATAGCTAATTTATCTAAGAATTACTTCAGAAAACCAAAAGTAGAGTAACAAAGGCATATTATAATTAATCAAAATGACTAATATATTAAATAAAAGTAACACTAATTTTGCTTAATCAATAATAAATATTACAGTAATCATCTCATATAATATAATAAATTAAAATAAAATTAATTTTAATTCCCATTATATTTAGTTAGTGTGTGGTTAAAAATTTTTTACATGCTATTTGTTTTTTCATTATATTGATTCATTAAACACAAATAGGTTTGAAATGATTATAAAAAATTTTTAAAAAAAATGTTTGAAAATGCATTATACTTTAATTGACAAACATAAAGAATATAAATATTTAAATTATTCAAAAAAAAAATTAACATTTTAAATATGAGATATCTTCCATTTGCTCAAACTCTGAATCTAAATAAATAAATAAATAATTTAAACAAAGAAGAAATTTGTGGTTTAGTTCTCAAAGGAAATGAGTTACTAAAAATAAATTTAATCATGAATTATTTCAATAGGATAATCAACAATAAAAAATTAACTGATGAATACATTTAAAGTATAACCCATATCCAATAAATATTTGATTCTTCATTTTCAATCTAACATCTACACTAAAAAAAAATTAAACACAAATAATCAATAAGTGAGAGAGTTACAAATTGATAATAGCAGTGCTTTTATAAATATAAAAAAAAAGAATAAAATCTCAATTAAATGACAAATTATTAACAAAAAGAAAGAAATAAGGAAAAATACAGATTGTAACCAAAAAAAAAAATTTAAAATAATAATGTTCATTTATATGAACTCACTTTCTATAGCGATCCCGGATTTACCCTTGTTGTACAGTGATCCGGACATGTGTCCGTGGATGTTGGTAGTTGATTATTATCTTGTTTACATCCTTTTTACTTCGTATTTGAGTTATAGGATGTGTTGGGCAGGTTTGTTACAGGTTGGTTGAGTTTAGAAACCAAAGCTAGTTGCCCAGATTTTGACCTGTCCGCTCGAGCGGGGGTTTTGTCCCTTGAGCGGGAATTGCACCCATCCAGTATTTCCTGAGCAGGGTTGGATGCTCGAGCGTGGGATTGGCCGCTCGAGCGGGGTTGTGTGAGTGTCGCTCGAGCGGGGAGTTGGAAGCTCGAGCGGAGACCTGGTTCTGTAAAAGTTCTGGGAGTGGTATCCGCCGCTCGAGCGGGATTGTTGACGCTCGAGCGGGAGTCTGTGAGTGACGCTCGAGCGGGGTGTTTGACGCTCGAGCGGGGCGACTGGGTTTAAGTTCCGTGTTTTTGACTTTTCAAATCACTTTTTCACTTTCTCTTTTCTCTCCTACTTTTCCAAAAACACCATTGTTGAGCCTCTCACTCTAGAACTCTACCTTCTCTCTAGGTTTTGATCTAGTATGAGTGATTTGCTCATCTTTGGCCTTTACAAAAAAGTTGTTGATCGTCGAGGGCTACATTTTAATCTGAAAATTTCGGGATTTGGAGCACGTTGGGTTTTGTCATCTTCTCCCTTGGGGCTCCGAATTTGAGGTAGGATATCCTACTCCTCTCTATGGATTTTGTCTTTAAATTTTGGTATTTTGAGATGTTGGGTTGGTTTGGTAATTTTGTGAAAGTTTGGGGCTTTGTGTTATTTTACAAAAGTTGGGGTTTTATTTATAATAAACCTAGATGCATGTTTGGCATAGAGAAATGGAAATTAATGTTGAATCATTAATGAAAATGGGACCTAAGGGTTGTAATGTTAATTATGGGAAATGACCTAATTACATTGATTGATAATTGGGATAATTAATTGTGAGAAATGAGAAAATGAAATGAAATGTTGATTGAATATCCATTTGTGCATTTATTTTCTGTTTAGAAATAATTGCTTTGGGCTATCGGTGGAAGATAGTCGTGATTATTGTAGAAAATGCATGATGATTAGGCAAACAGAAACTAATCAATAGAATGTGTCATTGGATTTGACGGTTGATAGAATACATTAACTGTATGTATTAAGTGATTGTATATAGAACCAATGTGTTTGTATACGTTATGTGTAAAGGAGGAGATGGGGGATGTACTCTACGGTTTAGGGGAATATGGGAGATGTACCTCTAAACCGGACAGAATTGGGAGGAGATAGGGGATGAACTCCGTAAATACAGCTCATATGCTTGTCTAAAGAAGTGAAGATAGAGCTAATATGCTTGTCTTTGTGAAGCGTTGATACAGCTTATATGCTTATCTGTGAATGTGGGATATTGTTGTTATACATATCTGTTGAGATGATGATAGAGCTAATAGGCTTATCTGTTGAAAAAGGGAAAATGAAAAGTAACTTGGACTTATAACTCGGATGACATAAAATGTGATTTATGTGAATGTATCAGTGTTGGCCATCTATCAATTGCTGTTTAGTGTATTTCTACTGGGCTGTGGCTCACCCTATATGGAAATATCATTTTCAGGTACAGGTAGCATGCCACCTCCAAGGTCATAGCTTGGGAGGCTAGAGGTGAGCAGATTGTTGTTGTTTTAGTTCTTTTTTTATGTATTACATGTATATTCAAGTCGAGGGCTTAATGTGTAGATGAGTTAGTACTCTTTCGTTGTAACCAAGTGTTAACTTGGAAAGCTGTAAGCCCGTAGGGCATTTTGCTTTGATGTTAACATGTAATACTTATGTGATGGAACTCTAATGAATAAAAGAATGTGGTTAGTGTATATATAAATGCATGTCTCTTTTAATGGGTTTAATGTTATTATTTTGAGGGCGTTACAACTTGGTATCAGAGCGTACCGGGTTCGAATACTTTGGGTACGTGGGAAGTGATTAGGATCACAATGGGTTTGTCTCGCTTGATAGAGACTTAAATGTAGTATCATATGCTATGTGCTTAAGTGATAACATGTTTATGTGACTATGTGGGTATGGGATTTAATTTCTGGGATGTTGATTGGATCCTTGAGTTTCTGGGAGTCTTGTTGGAAAAGCACTTGATAGAGAATTTATCTAGTAATTTACTGAGAATTTATGGAGTAATTTATTGAGAATTTACTCAGTAATTTATTGAGAATTTACTCAG